TTCCTCAATCTTTTATATGACGATAAGGAAAACATTGTGTAGTCTGTTGCTTGCACTGAAATTTGTTGCTCTGTGCTTGCTGTGAACGTGTGCCCGTTCTGGATCTGTGTGACATGGATTTCTTTTCACTGCCACACTTTCCTCACCACTTTCCAGAAGAACTACAGGAGAATCCCTCTTACCAGTCTGCAGCAGTGTCGGCACTACACAGCAGGAGAGAGCAGGTAATCAGAATACTTTATTAATCCCGAAGGAAATTAGGGTTACAGCAGGCAGCACGCTAATGGCGCATGCGCACTTACAAAGGAACCTTCTGACCAACTTTACACAAACATCACATTGGGGAGACATGTCAGAAAGGTCGGCTGATAGGAAAAAAACAACGAAAATACATAACATGAGGTAAGAGGAGGAGAAAAAAACTCCACTCAGACTGAGCTCCTAGTGGGAGAACAGTTTGATAACAGAAAAAACACCTCAGCACAAAAAGCACATGACTATCAACACACCATAGAAACACAAGACAAGCAACAGGGGCGGGTAAAGGGTGAGAGAGAGCCGGTGTAGACAGCGCATCCGGTCCTGCAGCATGTCTGCGCTGGTCCAGTCGACCGCCATCTTCCCCGGGAGGGCACAAGCATCGAAGGCGTTTGGAAAGGGAGGGGGGATCAGTGTGTGAGTGTATGTGTGTGTGTGTCCAGAGTTCAGCTGAGACAGTGTCCTTCGCCCTGCCAGGCTAAGTAAACAGTCTTCCAGCCAACCCAGGTGGTTCTGAGAACTCACGACCGCAGTGCACTTCCCCAAGATGTGATCGAATTTGCGCTCAAAGGTGTTATTCGAGCGAGCCCCTCCAGATGTAATCCAGTTTTTCACTCAGAGGTCTTGTTCTGAGTGTTCACGGCAGCCGTGCGTTCTCCAAGATCTTCTCCGTGCTGCACTCAATGAGCCCATTCACACACCAACACACACAGTACACTAATGAATTGTTTAGGACTAGCACATGGGCTTCAGCTGTCTTCTTAAGGGCCTCTCACATGGATGCGACATGTGCTGTGCCTGCCACCAAAATCTGTGTCCCGCTGGCCGCTGCGCTCTGGCTCCACGTTTACATGCGACTGCTCCCTGTCGTTTCAAAACACGGATCTCTCATCCTCAAGAGAAGATCTTCAGTGCTATCGTAGTGAAGAGCGTGCCGCTTCTACAGCATCGCTTTCCTCCTGAGATCACTATATGCAAGTCGGCTGAACTAGGATACACACAGAGTGCAGCGTCCCTTCCCAAAGGCCGTTAGCGAGACTGTCCATTCATTCATGTCTGCTTGTCCTTTTTCATTTCAGTAGTGCTTCCAAAGTGGTTGTTGCTGGCTTGCTGACAGTAAGTGGTGGCATTGGAGGGACCGTACTCTACGCCAAATGGGACCATAAGTTCAGAGCAGCGGTTGAGAAGAACGTCCCGTACTCAGACTGGCTGCTGGGTTTGGCCTTGGGACCCGCTGCCCAAGATCCTGGCCTCCCCATAAAGAAACGGGTACGGTGCTCAGCTCATCCTAGTCATAGTTACAGGACACAAAGTTTGTGTTTCACCGTCAGTTCAGAAGAATTGAAGTCGAACATTTTTTCTTTTACTGGCTCTCCATGTGTGAGTATCTGATGGTTTAAGGAGGATTCACTGTACGTTACAATGGCTTTTCAAATGATCAGACTGCATTGAAGCCCCATACCTCCACCCCCATACCTCCACCCCCATACCTCCACCTTTCCAGTGTGTGTCTGTTAAAATTCGACTCAGAATTGGTGATATCAGCTAATAAGCTTCCACACAATACAATATAAATATTTGTATAGAAAGAATAACCACATTTTTAGAACCACACTGTAATAACGTATGCTTCGATTTAAATGGTTGCTGTTAAGGTGGAGTTGGCCCAGCCGCCCTCTATGATAGAAAAACAAGTGAAGAAGTCGGCGAAGAAGGAGGGAGCCGAGGGTCCGGTCAAAGACTCCAGCCCCGCCCCCAGTCAGCCTGCACAGAGCCTACAGGGTAAGTGTGGCGCCCACTGTCATTATAACTCATGGCTTCATGTTGCCATCTGCCTTTTATCATGTGCTCTGATTCTATCAGCTTTATTTCTATTTCCGTTTTGTTATAGTTCGTTCACAGTAGTCGGGTGGAGCGCCCACAGTTTCATTGCATCTGTGCAGTGACAGTAAGGGGCTGTTGTGTTTGTACACCACCACAGTGGGTTTGAACTCAGCCAAGATGTGATTCCAGCGCAGCTTCATTTCAAGGATTCTAACACTAGTATTGGATTATTGAGTTATTCATTATAGACACTTGTATATCTTAATAAACCACGTTCAGAGGCAAAGTTTGTAAGGACTCCATTACAGATGAAACAGATAAAGTTGGACTTGTGTTTGGTTTGTTTTTCTGGAATTTGCAGTAAGCGCTCCAAAGTGATGTTGGTACAGTGAGTGAGGCCAGCGTTACGCTGAAAACCCAACAGATGTATGAGAGAGCTGGCAACAACCGTAGGAGAGGCCGAGTCAGTAACCTGGTAAATTCTTTAAAAGAAGAAATGCACTCGCGACCTCAGCGACACTGAGAAGCCTGTAGGACAGAGGGATTAAAGTGGGTAATCGCAAAAGTCCTTCCTTGGTTAGGGGACACCCTGTGCAACATTTAGCAAAAACAAGAACAGCCTGGAAGAGGTAGACTGTCAAAACATAGTGGGAGAGCATTTTACCCACTTTCACACGCTGAAGATGCTGCGTCCACATTTCTTTACCTGGACGACTGAGCGTGCAAGAAAATCTAGCGACACCTCATAATGCATGTAAAGGAATGTGCTGTACAAGGTCACTAGTTTTGCTGACATTGTAACTGCTGATTGAAATAGCACCAGGAATCTGTGATAGTATAAAGTTGGTCACCTGACTCTTGTAGAGCACGCTTTCAGTTGCAAAACCAAAGGTGGCGTTTTGTGACGTCCGTGGATTCTACACTAAAGGCAGCGATGGACTTGGAAGGATTTTCAGCTTCCATCACTTCAGTCTCATCTTGACAGTTAGATTTAAAATCCACTGTGATGGTGTTCAAAGGATGCAGTTGTTTCATGAAAGTGTTCACCAGAGGCAGCCTGATCATCAGCCATCTCGACAGTGCCGTAATATCATTATTTACATTATGAAGTTAATATTATTTTAATTCAAGTTCATTCAAATCAGCCTCACTTGTAAATGTCTCTGGGACGAGCCAACATTTAATATCTGCTGATGCAAACTCTCCACTCTGGGGGGGCGGTGTGCTCTGTTAGCTGCTAGCTCCACCCGTTCTTCTTTGAGATGTTTGTAAATGTGCGCTCTGTTGTTTAGCCCCAGCAGAAGCCTCTCAGGGTAAGCTGTCTTCTCCTATACTCTCCTGTTGTTGCTCTGCTCCCATGTGAAATTTCATTTTGCACTGCTATTAGGCTTCTTAGTTTGTAGCAGCCATTGTATCTTTGATAGCTTTAAAGCCATTATGCTGCCATAAATACTACCTCACTGTAGCTGAAGCTGAAGTGATGATGAAACCAGTAGATGGATGGTCTTTACTATGTGTATGAGTGGCTTTGCGTGTGGTGACACACATGGAAGCTCCTGAGCGGCTCTTGCCTTCTGTATTTGTGTCCCATTTAGAGGCCTCAGCAGAGGCGACTCATATCATCTCAGCCATCGGTGAGGTCCCATCAGTCCCTGCTCCATGTGACACAGAGGCAGCAGCAGTCAAAGGTATCATCACTGAAACAGGACCTTGCTGTGAGGCTACAGTGCTGACCACTGCACGCTCTGCTGTCCTTCTTTATTGTCATTATGCAGCACAAAGCAAAATTCTGGGCGGCAGCTTAGAAGAGCCAGTATCTAAACCACAGACAAATCCACAGTGGGCACATGGTATATACGATTAAATCCTCTCCTTTGGGTGGAGCTCGGACTTGGTGTTGGCGCTCTGTGCAGTAGAGTACCACTTCCTGTTCCTGTTACAAGCACAGCAGTGTTTTAGCCAATTGAATTAAATATTGATATGTTGTCTTTACGTGCTTTATCCAGAGTCTGTAGTCGACTAACCGTTCTCTCCTGCACTTTCCTGCTCAGATGTTTAGTTAGTCGGCTTCCTTTAGTAATAACGACTCTCGTAATACATGTAACCTGTAACTTATCACAGTAGATGTCTTTCTGAAAGCGCTGTAACTAAGTTTAAGAATATAATCCACCCACTGTTATCATCTCAATGCCCTGTACCAACACAGAGCAGAGCAGCTATCTGAACGCTGCTCCAACAGAGGTCGATTATCTTGTTAATAATTTCACCTCCTCACTACGTACGACTCTGGATACTGTAGCTCCTGTGAAAACTAAGGTCTCTAATCAGAAGTACCTGACTCCGTGGTATAATTCTCAAAAACTTTCTGAGTTAACTTCAATAATTACTTCCTCCAAACCATCAACGTGTCTTTTAGACCCCATTCCTACAAAACTGCTCAAAGAAGTCCTGCCATTAATTAATTCTTCGATCTTAAATATGATCAACCTATCTCTAATGATCGGCTATGTACCACAGGCCTTCAAGCTGGCTGTAGTTAAACCTTTACTCAAAAAGCATCTCTAGACCCAGCAGTCTTAGCTAATTATAGGCCAATCTCCAACCTTCCTTTCATATCAAACATCCTTGAAAGAGTAGTTGTCAAACAGCTAACAGATCATCTGCAGAGGTTTATTTGAAGAGTTTCAGTCAGGTTTCAGAGCTCATCACAGCACAGAAACAGCTTTAGTGAAGGTTACAAATGATCTTCTTATGGCCTCTGACAGTGGACTCATCTCTGTGCTTGTCCTGCTAGACCTCAGTGCAGCGTTCGATACTGTCGACCATAATATCCTATTAGAGCGATTAGAACATGCTGTAGGTATTACAGGTACTGCGCTGCAGTGGTTTGTATCATATCTATCTAATAGACTCCAGTTTGTGCATGTAAATGGAGAGTCCTCTTCACACACTGAGGTTAATTATGGAGTTCCACAGGGTTCAGTGCTAGGACCAATTCTGTTTACACTTACAAGCTTCCACAATAGGGGATGCTTTCTGTTGTGGATCTGTAGACGTTCACGATTAAATTCATAATGTTGAAACAAACAAAATAATAGTCATTGCAAAATGTAGCACACATATGATTATTATGTTGGTCAGGATGATGGTAGTGATTAGCATTTGCACCTCACAGCAAGAAGGTTTGATTGTGCATCAAACCTGCTGGTCTCCATGAGTTCTCCATGTTGTGTGAAACATGGATGGAGACTAGTTAACTTGTGCAATAGCCCAGGTTGAGTAAATAGTTACGGTAGTTTTCATTTAATGCCGGAGACAGAATATGAAGCAAGAAGCAAATCTGCACGTTTTTAACGTGTCACTGAGGCATCTACATTTGCAAAGGTTTTGCAAAACCTTCATTCGTGGTGTGAACATACAATAATAGCACTTCATGTTCTTTCATGGCTGAAAGTCCAGCAGTCTCGAGGATTACTGGGGTTGTTTTAGGTCTGTGTTTGTGTGTTTTCTCTCGAAGAGTGCAATGAGTGCCATGAACACAAGGAGGCGACAGCGGTCCATCCTGCACCCACAGAACCAATGAAAGAGCGTCCAGTAGAAGAAGTGGCTGCTAGACTTGCTCAACAAGAGCAGGAGGAACAGGATATTTCAGCATGTAGGATGACAGATACAAACACATACACACACACACACACACACACACACACACACACACACACACACACACACACACAAACACACACACACACAACCACAACCACACACACAAACACAAAGAGTGACGTCGTTGCATACTGACCACTTGAATAATGACGTGTCATTTTATAGACAGTAAATGTCTCTGTCTTCCTGTGTGATTGCTTTGCAGCGGTATCAGCCAGTCTTGAAGACTCACTGGCGAGCTCAGCCAAAGCTACTCTGCAGGCCATAGGAGCGCAAGAAGCAGCCCTGCAGGCTATCATGCAGCACACAGACAAACTGAAGGAGGCTATGGAAGCAGAGGTAAACAGCAAGCACTTCATAAGGAAGGCATGTGCCAACCTTTATGTTTTAATACCCCCAGCAAATGGGGACTGTGCTCAGCTGGTACTCCAAATGTAACATGAAGTACAAATCAGTGATTGTACTTTTGGAAAACCAAAGCAGGCCACCGTGCCCTTTAGGGCCTTTTTTACCCCTCAGCTTGAAGGCGACGTTGGATACTGTCGGTCCATCTACTAAAAACCTGGGACGAGTTTGAGTCCTTGAACTTAGTCCAGTGTTCTGTGGTGAATGTGTTAACTCGAGAAGGAAGTCCCCCGGGGTTTTCATACAGTAGGTCAGTCTGCTGGGAGCTGAGCGTCCAGTACTTTTGTAAATGGACCGTCTGTGATGGACTGATTCTGAGCCAAAGGCCGCAGGGTGGAGGGAGAGTGACGGTGTGCTGGTGTGGCTGAAGGAAGCCTGTGATGTTCAGATTGTTTTCAGTAGAGTACAGTAGAATCTCTGGGCACAGCTCTTTAGTGTTTCACAGCTCTGGTTTAGTCTGTTTGGTTTCTGTGTAACTCTTGTCGGGACAGATCTAACCACTAATGCAGGGACCACTTGCACACTTCATGCTTCCTTTTCTGTAGCACAGATACCTGCACGCCTCCTGCCCGCTAACCTCGGAGTATAAACTATAGATGAGTCTGTTGGTAAATCTAAAGAGCACAGATATTTATTTCAAAATGTAGGGAGTATAAGTAAAAATTAAATACTCAAGTAAAGTACACATACCTACTTCAATAGAGTAACAAAGTAATAGTATTACCTTACATTAAATGACTAATGGTAACATGTGCGCTGGTCAGGGAAACATTTCTAATAACTGCTAAACAGAATCTGATGGCAGTAAATGTTCAGTGTTGCTACTACAGCTGATGGTGAGGGTGGAGCTGCTGTCCGCCTGCCTGTCTGATGGATACTGTTGCGAATAAGTATCCATATGTTTCAATTCCACATGAATGTTTCTATGTATCTATTTGACATCCCCAGCTCACACCTGCAAACGCTCCATCGAGGCTGATGAATGAGGCAGGACTCCATCTTTGCCTCAAGCCCACATGTCCTGCAGACCACTGGACTGGGCATCGTCTCACAGCAGCGCTGTCACTGAAGACCTGCGTACTCTTGTTTTTAATCAGATACATTGCTTGCTGTGGCCTGTGTGGTCCACCCACCACAGCGCTGTATTAGTAATGTTTAAGGCTCACTGAATGGGAAGCGTCACTGTTTTGCAGTAGATTTATCGAAGTTCTTCTTAAACTTAGGTTCTTCCTGAGGAGAAGTCAAACCAGTGGAAGGACCTGGAAGCTGCTCTTGCTGATAGAACCACGGCTTTGAACGATGCCAGAGCCGCTCTGTCGAAAGCCAAGTAACACAAACACACACACACACACAAACATACTTATTACAAACTTGAATGTGTGTGAAGAAGAATTCTTTCTTTTCCACTTAGCTTGAAAATCATAAATGTTCTTTCTTTAAATTGTGATTTCTTCTGCTTGGAGTGAAAGTGTTTCTTTAATTCTGATGACCAGTGTGGCACAAGGTTAATCTGAAAGATGTAATAATCACTCAGCCTTCAGGGCTGTGATGAGTGCAGCGTGCCGTGTACATCTCTGCCTAACTCAATTATTTTGGCAGTCTTCCTTATCAGCACATGTCTTTCCTTGCAGCGAGTCCTTGGACAGTCTCAGGTCAGTGATTGACGAGTCCAAAGGGCTGAAGATATCCTCTGTTCGCCCGCTGGTTTTAGCAGCAGAGGAGAATCTCCATAACATGGTTGTGGACTTGGACAAAATGGTCATGAAGGTAAAGTTTGTTTTCTTTTTTGGTGCATTGTGGACGACTACAGGAGATTAAAGTGACCTGTTTGCTTCCTTTCTGAGGCTCACGTTCACATTTGCACCTCTCAGCTGTAAACTGAATGAAAGTGACAGCAGCACGTTAGCCTCCGTTGGCCAGTACCAAACATAAGAGCTACCTTGGCATCAAAGCACAGTACTTTGTAAAATAGGCAAGAAAACTTGTGAGGAGGTGACTCAACCCAGCAGCTATATTTGCAGCTCCAGTCCATGTGATGGGAGCGCTACGTAGGCTCCTTCTATGCTGAGATATGACTGGATATAATACTGTATCACTACTTTGCACTGCTGGCAGCGCCTTGTTTCAGTAGATACACACTCATTTTAAAACAAGGATACAAAATGCCTTTGATTTTCCTCATTTCCTTACAAATGTTGCTGCCTGCAAGCTGTGAGTGTCGATAAAATGTTTCCTTTTCTCTGTCATCAGAAATACGATTATCATTTTGCCCACACCCTGTGAGCATGTGTGTGGTATGACCTATTAGACTCTAGTGACCGGCACTATGTGCAGTTAGTGTTGGCTGTGTTATCTTCACCACTGTCATGATTATTAACTCGTCCTTTTCTATTCACACCTCTCTGTTCTTCTGCTAACAAATGTTACCAACTAAAGGTTCAGTCTGCAGAGTCAGAGGCTAAGATCGTCTCCCAGTACAGTGAACTGGTTAACGAAGCCAAACGACAGTTTCAAAGGGAAGTCAGCAGTCTCACTCCAGAGATCCAGGCCAACTGGAAAGGGCTCAGTAAGAGCACGCATACACACTCAAACACGTGTCTTTACACACACAAAGTTTGATTCGATTTGTTCAGCTGGACATTGTGTTTTCATTGGTCGCTAATCGGACTAACGATGGGCCTGAGGTCAGTTTCATGAGTGTTAATATGGAAACTGTCATGTGTAGTGATGAATGGCCATGAGTACGATTGACAGAGTTGGTGGAAGGGCTGCAATCACAGCATTGTAAGACGGTGACAGATGTACCTTTAAGCACCTGCTCGACTCCCAGATGGTCGACGTGCACGTGCAGCCTCAGGCCTCTAACCACAGAGATGTTACGTGTAGCCTGCTAGCCATAGCTGGTGTCTGGGATGGATGAATAAAGCCAGGTCTCTAACATCAGCGCAGTGTTATTAGTCGTGATCTGTAGCCTCAGTTCATGTTATTATGTGGTTGTTTGTGTGGCTGAAGCTGTCTGTCATGCCGCCGCCTTCACCCTCTCCCAGCTGGTACGATAATAAACTGAGCGAGGCATGTCCTGAAGAACAGAATCAGCTGTCTGGGATTTACTTTCCCAGATTATTAAGCATGCATTAGGACACTCATTGTGTTGCTGACAGTACAGTGAAAGAATGTGACAACGTTTCCCCTCTGAGGAGCAATATTTAGGTTTCCATACTGATGTTGAGGTTTTAGAGCGACGTTCAGTGTCTGTGGAGTGCGGAGGGCTAGCTAGGCTTAGGTGCAGAGATGCTGTTCATAAGGTAAAAACAGACTTTGTGCAATTCTAACAAGCCTGAAAATCAGTACTTTGTCTGAACACCTTTACTCTTCAAAACAGCCTGAGCACTCTGAGCCACGCTTTCTTGTAATTACATTAAATAGCCTTCAGAAACAGAGGTTTCATTCTCTGTCAGGACGGTGCCACACTGCTTGGATGGACACGGGTTAGTTTCAGGACAGCTTCATCAATTGAATTTTTCAGTGGGAAGGTGGCAGTCAAGAAATCACTGATTTAGAGGAGAAACAGACAGGGGTGGGTGTGCCAACATAAACAAGGACTGGACTGAAACAGCGCAGAGCGCAGTCCCAGGAGCAGCTGAGATACTGCGCAGAGCAGCCGAGCTGGCAGAGGCGCAGTGCTATACCGACAGGTCGATCACAACCAGCTAATCAGCATTTGATGATTTCAATTTTAAATTTCATGATATTCACGTCACACACGAGCTTGCCCATTAACTGTAGCGTAAGTAATATATGGGTTTTAGTAATAAGTAAGTAATAAGTTTAGCACAGTTTGTCACTTGCTGTTAAATCATAAAGATAATTAATTTATCGTGATTAAATCTAAACAACAATAAGCAAAACCATTTAAAACAGATCAGCAAATGAAGTACAAAGCATGATTTCTGAGCAGTAAACTGCACTCTTATTTTGTAAATACAGATTCAGGTACATGGCGAACACATCCAAGCTGTCCGGCAGAGACGAACATGTTACCGTGTCCGGTGGAAAGAAGAGCCGAGGTGCAACAGTGTGATGCTGTAGCCCAGGGATGTCAAACTTATTCCGGCCCACTTTAACAGGTGAGAGCCACCTTTCTGTCACTGTACAGAAGTCTGGCTGCACACTTAATCCCAGAAACAGAACAAAGTTTTCGAGAACGCACATCACGCGTTAGTATTTGTGGATTTTACGAAGACAACCTGCAGCGTTTGTTCTGATTCATTAAAAATACCACGTCTACGTGCAAACGCGTTTAAAGGCGAGTGCCGCTAGTAGCATAAAATACTGCGCCGGTTAGCTGGTATCAAACCTGGGGCCGATAAAAGGTCAAACAGACAAGTTTTGGTTTTTGCCATGATGACCTCTCCGCTCAAACTTAGCCAAACTCGTTAGCTTGGTTATGCTTAAAACGCCATTATCCATCTGTCACCGGAAGAAACCCGGCTAACGTTAGCATGCTGCGCTGTTCCGACAGCGTCCACAACCAATTGCATGGCATCAAATACAGCGCTCGACAGCACCGAAGAGTTAACAGCCCGAACTAGTAAATTCACTGTGGCACCTTGAAGCAGGCTCTGGGTCACTGAATGACAACACGCTAACGTTAGCCCGCGGAGCAGGCAGCAGGCAGCAGGCTTACCCGGGCGGTAGCATTAGCCCCTCTCAGACACGCTCTCAGCATGGTCTTCTCCTGCTTTGGTTTCTGAGTTCGTAAATAAATTAACCTGCACAGAAACAGATAATTTCTTTGCTGCTCTTCTTCGTCTTCTCGCGCACTCTTCTTCTCCTCAGTACTTTGCGTGGATTAAACGTTTGCGTGCACAACAGCGCCCCCTTATGTTGTTCCCGTCATTCTTCCATCTTTTTTGATGTCCCACACATAGATTTATAAGAGCACACAAATCAGTTTGTCCACCTTCGTCCAAGCCTCGATCGAAGACATAAGTCAGACAGATGAGCCTTATTTCCCCAGCGCTCCTAAACTAAGCTAAACAGATTCTCACCAGTGATAGGTTTGTAGCTTGAACCCATCCGCTGGAACGTTGAAGGCAATATAATTACACTGCAAAGCAAGACACAAGTAGGCAAGCTTCTTCATGTTTCTCGTGCACGGGAGAGAACCGGACAGGCACCGTTCCTTCGCTTGACCCCAGTTGCTCTCGTCCGTTCTCCCGTACCACTGTTCTTTTATTGAGGTTACATGAATATGCATAAGTTCATTAACATATGACGTCTACATACACACAAAGAGTACCTTGTGTGTGTGTGTGTGTGTGTGTGTGTGGTGTGTTGTTTGTTTTTGTTGTGTGGGTGTGACTGCTGATCAAAGGGTCAAACATCCTTGGTCAGGAAGAGGGTAGCCTCCCCCTCACCCTAGATGGTTCATCCTAGATAACACGGTGAGGAAGTCCTGCAGTTCATCTAAACAAAGAGCACTTAGACTAGAACAGACGCAACTACGTTAATCCTACCATAAAACAATAAGACACGGTATGACCTCTCATGCTCCCAAAGTGCTGTCTAATACACACAAAGTTTGCAGACTATCAAGGATCAAAACCTCTACCAATCTGCAACTAATTACAAAACTCTAAGCATATATAAGTAAATATTTCTAAGCATAAATGACAATCAACAATACAAACCTAACAACCAGTGCCGGGCAGTTCTGGTTATCTATGCTCCCTAGCATACAACACTGGTTATGTGTGAGCTCATACAGTATTCCAGTTCAACACACATTTTCCAGTAATTACTACATCAGCTGTGTGAAGTGTGTCAGAGAAACTCTGGTTTCAAAGTCACTATTTAAATCTGTGGCATGCTGTCCAATGATGGACCAAGTTTTCAACAGTTTTTAGCCAAAAAAAAAAAGAAGAAACATTGATTTTTCTTGTTTGTTTTATTTATTTGTTTGTTTTTTTATTTCAAGTTCTATTAAAGATACAGCAGTAAGAAACAATTACATTTGTATTAAAACAAAAAGCCAGAGCCCAATATTTCTCAAGGAGAACTCAAAACAACATCATTGCCTCCGTTTCTATTAAGACGACTCCTCCGAGTTCAGACAGTTTCTATGCATCTGGAATCTTCTCAGGTAGAATATGAGAGAAGTAAGCTCGCATTTGCACAAAACTAGATGCACACTCCAACAGGCCTCTCACTGGTACAGCAAGTGGGGTTTTTTGAATACCAAATTCTGAAACATGCGTCGTTAAAAATGTAAAATCTTGTCATAAAATACTCGGAACAGATAAACTACAACAAATGGCCCAAACGATGGATGGAGAAACATATGGTGAAAACAAAACTCAATATTAATAATAATCAGTGACTACCAGCCAAAGACACAGAGTGTGTCCACAGACTCTTGGCTGGCAGCTGCAGCAGTTTTTTCTGAGTGGACTGTGTGAAGTCGATGTGGGGGGAGGACTGAACCATTCAATAACAAGCTATGCAATATTAGGCTCCGCTGTCCTTTGTACTTTGACCGGAGTACCGCAGTCTTCATCCTGAGCAACACAACACAAACGATATCATTTAATACAGTGTTTGTAAGGGTGGCTTTTTCATCTGTGGATTAAACTTTGCACAACAAGTAAGGAGACCTGTGTTTGCTCCCATTGGACAGCCTGCTTGTTTCACCTTAAATGGGCCACATTTGCCAGAATAAATCCAAACAGCAGAGTTGAGCAAAGAGAAAGCTGAGCAAACACGCTTCCTTTCTTTTTGTGCCAAGTTTACAAGCAATCCCACCACCATCATCATCATCTTTATTTTCTTAAAAACTGATGATCGTCTAAACAATGGACCAGATAAATATTTAAACCAAGGTTCCAGAAAGTTTCAGTCAAAACCTCTGAATCAAACGCTACGATTGTTAGTCGTCAGCACGTGTGGGCCTCGACATTTCAGCAGCACCTCAGTGACTTCCACTCACCTCCACTGACAGGCTGTGTATCGGCAGCGAGGTCTGGGTGTTCTGGGAGTCAGTAATGGTTGGGAAATCTAGTTCAATGTCCATTACATCATCAAGGTTGAGCTCCTCACTGGTGGGAGAAGGAGAAATATACACATCATACATGAGGACGGCCAGCAGCTGACTGACGACGTGCAGAACGTGTACGAGTGTCTTACACGACATCGAGGGTCTTGTCCTGGCCTTCCTCTGCAGGGGGGTCCCAGGCGTGTAGTTTGACCTTCCACAGTTTGATCTGCTGGTCCCAGGAGCGACGACTGTACTTCCTGAACTTATTGGGAGTTTTTGGATGAACGCCTGGCTGACGCATGTGTCTGAAAAGAAGAAACACGAGGGTTAATGCTGACCAGTGTATTACACACACCAGCAGCGGGCAGGCTTTACACTGGATGCTCCACAGCACGCGTCTCTGTCGACCTACTTAGGAACTTCTTTGATGTAGCGGTCGTAGGCCAGCGTGTTCTTGCCATAGTTGATCTGTTTCTGTCGTCGTAGCAACACAGCTTCATCGGTTTCCATGTTATCTCCCTCTCTGGAGTCACAGCTGCAGCACACAGACACATTTAGTCCCGTGCACACAATACAAAGACAACTCTAACATTCAACGCGACAAGAGCCCGACTTCCTTCATAATGATTTTACTCGTAAATGATTGGAAACACAAAGTTTTCGAAAATTTTAAAAGTTACTGTCGTGTTAAACAAGCCTGTGTTACCGTTTAATGAACAAAACTCGGAGTTTTTACATTAGTAACGAGCTCAAAGCCGTGACATGGCAGTTAAAGCGATGTTTGACACGTCGCGTTTCAGCCTCGCTGTCACAAGGACAGAAACCCTCATCGTCTCATAGCAGATATGATATTTATCGCATCATATTCTGATGCTGAGCACTTTACTTTTTGTTACCACATAACTGAGCTCCATTAGTGCAATCTGTTTTACCGTACTCGCTGTTGTTCGGTGATACTGCATTGATTTTATTTCATGTTTCCATCATTTTGGGGATGAATACATTTTGTCTTGCCTTATTAATGGTAAAACTACATTGCACACTTGTATAGCTGCAGGTGGATATGTGGTTTGAGAAGCGAGTGTTCCATCAGTTCGTGAATATTCTGAGTTTAAAGGTCTGTGAGAGAATGAGATACCTTCCAGACGAGCCAGACGAGGCCCTTCTCTCCCTCTGGGTGAATTCTGCCCCCAGTATCCTCCTCCTGTAACTGAACACAGTGCAAACAGTGAGTCTGCAATCCAAAACAGGAAGAGAGTATCTGCTTTCATGTGCTTAAAAGACACCTGAAATGATGCAGAAACTGTTTAATTACCGCTGCATGTCTCTGTGCACATCCCTCCTCATCTCATCGTCCTCCACCTGGCTGCCCCAGTCAGCCTGCCGACCACAGCGGGACACTGAGCCTGTGCTCTCTGGTGTAGTGAAGCTAGGAGGACAATACCACAGGTTACACACACACAGGGATGTTACTGCTACAGTTCCAGCAGATGTCGTGGCCACATGTTGGTAATGGAGTCAGTAACCTGATTTTTAGCAGAGACTGGCTTGCTTCACTCAGTTATAGTGTAGTTAGATTTTTTTAAACACTACCATTCAAACTAAAATCATTCTAATAATTGACCAAATATTACTTTACAACCACTGTGTTATTTATTTTAATTTAAAAAAACACTTGTTTTCTTCTCGAGCCTTCACTGGAGTTTGGATGTGAACTACACAGACCAATGAAATTCTCACACTGCACGGTCTACATTTAACAAAGCACCTTTGAGCAGGGCCATTGAAGCTGTGGCTTTTTGGTCCAGTGTGAAACATTTCCCCAACAAACGCCAAAAACCCACAAAGCTTCAGCCGCCTCGTGGCTTTTCAGTTACAAGTCCGCTGCGTTACATGTTTATCACTTTCCACATTAACTGATCTTACTCTCACCTAGTATGTCTGCGATCAGGGTGTTTGTAGCTGGAGTCGGTGTGTCCGTTCCTTCCTCTATCAATATCATCTGCCTCGCTGTTGCTCCGCAGGCTCCCATTGATCCCCCTCTTCCTGCAGTGGGACCACCGAGATGGGCCAAAGCTACACAAGAAGACACAAAACACGTGCAGATTTAAACATGCTAATTCATTCTTGTTTTGATATTAGATTTCTGCAAACACGTCTCAAAAACATTCTCTTCTGTGTCAAATTAGAAAAAAAATCACGGCTGTTAAAAATGCAAAAGCAGCAAATACATGCATGGACTGCAACCACACGGTGGGACGCACGGTCCCACGCAGGAAAACACTCATGATCGTTTCACGTCTCCGTATTCAAAAACGGCAAAGCTGCACTAACTGTTTCAAAATCCGGGAATTTCTTTTAAACCTTCTTAGACAGATTAAAGTCTAGAGAAGCTGAACTTTCTTCAATAATAAATGGTTAGTTGAGTACAGTGGGTAAAACTGGAGCCATACACTTCCTTTAATAGACTATTTCTCCCGCCAACTTCTTCCGATTGTGCGGACCATCATCCATCTGTGACTCTTGTTTTTCCTGGAGGGCACTTAGGACCGCGTATTCTAACATCAGACGTTACAACTACAGCTGTTAACCACCTGTCACGGTTCATCCACTCACTTGTGTGTTACACTTAGCATTCACAGTCCACAATGTACTCGAGCGTTAGCTTTAGCAGTTGTCTGTATTTAACGCCTTACCGTCACCTTTTTACCCGCACTGTTAGCTAGCGTCACTGTCAGGTCCACTGTTCACGACAGACCTGCTACAGACTGCTAGCTTCTACGAGCTTAAAGAAAATAAGGTAACCATAGATACTAGCAAGAA